TTTGCGAAGGCGGCTCCGGACGCTTCAGCTGAGCACTCGTTGATGGGATCTGTAAGGGACAAAATATTCACCATCTAATGTTTAGATTTTTCCCGTTAAATAACGCTTACGTACGTTGTACGTTTTTTTGCAACTATTCCTGGGCCGTAAAACTGCATAACTCTTCATTATAAAAACGTTTTAGATCGAAAAACCGGGGGTTTCGACATTTTCAAAGATTTTCGAATGTTTTTCTGCTTCAAATATAGCCTACTTATCTAAAAACAGTACAAAACACTGCATTTTTTTACTAGGCACTCCCGGAGCCATCGAAACAAAGTTTTGTTCCCGCGAATACTCAATAACGGCAAATTTTGAATGCCGGCTTTCACAAGACCGAATTTTCTAATGCCGATTATCAAAATACAGATTTTTCAATATGCCGAATTCGTATGATGAAAATTCAGTCTTTTGGCAGCGAAATTCGAAAAGACGTCCTGAAAAATCTGTACCCTTTCCGGCATCCCTCGCCTCGTCGTATGCGCAGAAGGAGCGGAATTTTGCGTACCCTCCTCGCCGCTTGTCGTCGACTTTCGATTGTTGATGGTTTGAAGGGCAGAGGCGCGGGCTTGCAGTCGACCATTACCGCCCATAAAAAACAATTTTCGATGGTCTAAAAAAGATACCTCGATTCTGGGTTGTCGACGACGAGGGCACAGAAATGATGTCATCATCGTCGAAGAAGGCGGACTTTGCTGGAATTCACAAAATTCGGCGAAAACCTTAAATTACCCGAATTGGCATTGGCCGACGTAGACGGGATTCGTTTGGGAGCTGGAGGCGCTGCCAGGCTTGTCGTTGCCGCCGCCGAAGTCGCAACGCTGCTGCTAAAATTGGAGGTTTAACAAGTCCGATCGAATTTTGAGGCTGGTTCTGCATAAAAGGCGTAAAAATACGGCCTTTCCGGCTCAAAAACCTCACCGCTGGGTCTCATCCGTCTTCAGCGAGTAATTCGGCCTTTGGCTCGGCGTGGGGACGCTAGAAATAGGCTGTTGTGGCGAGCATTCGACATGTGACTTCTGCATTATATTGCTCGAGCCGGCGCTTCGTTTCGCGCTTGATCTAAAAAATCTAGAAATTAAGGTTCTTTCCCATTATCGGGGGGGGGGGAGTTTCTAGAAGTCTAGAAATGCCAACTAACTGTATAGAAAGTATTTTAATAGGGCTCTAGTAAAATAGAACGATATTTCAACTACAAAATCTATCCAATAATATCTTCTAATAAAATCTTCCAAAAATCGGTCAAACATTTTGGTCAAAAAAAAAGCTATTTTTGAAGTTTTTCATAAAATTTTGGAAATTTTGTACGTTTTGCACCTCCCTCCCCTGAGACAATGCGAAAGAACCGAAAGCGATACCGCTGCGTATTCTCGCCCAACACCTCGATCGAGTTGCGCTGCGTGGCGCGCTGGGTGCCCTGGCTGGCCGCGAAGAAGCCCGTGATCTTGGCTTGTTGCTGGTTTGGCGGCGGCTTCATCTCAGGCAGTATCTAAGAATTTTATTTTTAAGCCCAGAGCCTCAGAATTACCTCAACGACAAACTCGTGGTCGCCAACGATGAACGTGTCGCCGTCGTTGAGCGGATGCGACTTTTTCACGTAGTTGACGCCGTTTATCGCCGTCCCGTATGAGCTGGCGTCGTTGAGGTAAAGTTGTTTCTAAAGGGGAATATGATTTTTCGCCTTTTTCTCTGGTTCTGTAGCTCAAAAACAGGGTCCAGGTGCTTTTTTTGTGCACTTTCGGCGGTAAATAACGCTTGGCCAACAACTTTGAGCCCGAAATTTCCTGCGTGTTACTGGTCGAGAATAAATAGGGTTGCAGGACCGCTCAGAAGTGGCACAAAACAGAGCCAAAGTTGCTGAACATTTACCAGCTTTTAAATGCTTAATTTTTTGGGTCTAAAGTCGATATGCCAACTAAAATATGAGCTTTTCCGTTTCTTGTTTGCCATTTTGTCCACTTTCAGCTTAACTATCTCCCATTTTGAAGGCTTTTAAATTTAAAAACTAGAGAAATGATCAGCATTGCCGACTCTAAAGTTGGGCCAATTTTGAGCCCGATCCGGGCCTATTTCGCCTCTCCAAGCCGGCTTCTTCCCATCACAAACGCTTGCACGCGCAAAGTAACGTAGGAGTATAAGCACAGCACGTCTCACATGGCTCAATGCGCTTCGTTAAATCAAAAATTTACCCCTCTAAATTCGAGTGCAGCATGCACGCGGCTCACTCCTGGGGCAGCGACGGGAAGCTGGATTCTGCACTGGGCCGGGTCACGACCGATCCGACATCCTTCCGGGTCGACCGTCCATGACCCTATTCGGGAAATTATGGCAAGAGATGTTGACAAACTGCTCAGCACGCTCCGTTCCACGATCCGATACATCCGAGGCGATCAGCAGTGCATTCGACGTGTATGTGGCCGTACGAGAAGCTGGCAGCCCGAAAACGATGTTATTTCTTGCAGGTTCAATCGGCGCGCAAAGGACAGCGACAGCGCTACGCAATTCAAGATGTGAACGAAAAACGCATGAAGCGCCACACCATCGCAATCTCAGCAGCCAAGAGCCTAATTCCAACAATTCGCCTCCAAGCAAAGATTATCGGATGTATCGTTTCAATGTGCTTCACAATTTGTTGTAGAGTAAAAACAGTTTATCAGCATTTAATGAATAACCAACAAAAACACAAAAGAAGGACCGAGGAATTAGAATTGGATGACGGCGTTCCTGGACTTCTTCTGACCTCCCAGCTCGAAGTGCTTGCAGCGCTTGATGGCCAACTGCTTCTTGTGCTTGCACTCGGTGCACTCCATCCTCAGCACGATCTTCTTTGTCGTCTTGGCCTTCTTTCGGAAGATGGGCTTGGATTGACCTCCGAAGCCGGACTGCTTGGCGTCGTATCTCCTTCGACCTGAAAATCAAAAATTAAATAGGGATGTAAGGCTTTGACGTTCAGCACAGGCTACATAGTGTCAAGACAGACGCCATTGGTTCAAAAGACCCTCGACAAAATGAGCACTACAGCCAAGGCCCCGAAAAAAGCTGGAGGCTGGCTTGCAGGGGAAGCTGTTCAGAAAATGGGGCATAGCGGAGACGAAAAAGTTATAAAAAGACTCGACAAGCATCCCTGGCTATTACTTCCGACAAGCGAATTAAAAGCCTTAGAGCAGCTACAGGCCGCGTGAAAATATGGGAACTTGATGACGCAGCACCGACGTTCAAGCTAAAAAGTCATCTAACGAGATGCAATGCGCACGCTACAAACGCATTGAACAATAAAGACAATCCATGCAAGGATTCAAATTAGCGAGCCCCAATGCGATGTTTCGAAGAACTACGTTATGACATCAAATTTAGAACTTGGGTTGAATACTAAACGACTAGAAAAAGCTCGTCGTGCTGATAATTCTAAATCACTATACCAACATGCTAAAAGCGACGAAAGTAACGGGCAAAACTCCGTTCAAAACATCTCGGAACTTAAGCGCCGGGCAGGAAACGAACACCAACGAAGCAGAATTTCACGATTTTACGACAACGAAAAACTACGGGACCAAGCAAGGATGCGCAACGTTTTCAGGCCAGTGCAACAAATCGGAATAGCTGTATACCTTGGGCGAACGTCGATTCCTTTCCCTTCTTGTATTGGGTGACCTTGTGGTTGGTGTGCTTGCGGCACTTGCCGTCGCAGAAGGTCTTGCGGGCCTTCGGTACGTTGACCATTACCTGAAAAGGGGGGTTGTAAACACGTTAAATTGACAAAGAAGAAAGTGAACTTGAAAAATTGGGCATAGTAACGGCACCAATTCGTTGGGTGCGCGCAAAAATAGAAAATCGGGGGAGCGAAAGGAGCGTGTTGGGTGTGGGACGGCAGGGGTGGGGTACGGTGGAAAGGGCGCAAGACTGAAGTGACAGCCCGGGTCACGGAAGGCGGCGGCCGACTGAAATTTGAAAAATGTTTTAAAACCCTTGTTATTTTCTTTTTAATCGTCTTTAAAACGCAATTTAACTTTCAGAAAATGGAGAGCAGCAACGACTTGCTGCTGGCGGCCATCGACGCGATGGCGTACGACGGACCCGCCGCAGAATCGCAGGGTAAATTAATTTTTTTTGGATTTTTGCGGTTTTAGTTTGGTTTTTGACGATTTTTGGTTGATTTTTAAGGTGATTTTTAAGAGAAAAGATGCGTAGACTGAAAATCTACACCCTTCGGGCTTTTAGGTCTCCAAATCTGTGCAAAATTGACGATTTTTCGACTTTTTCTGGGTCTCAATTTATCAGAATTTCCTGGAAATTAATTTTCAGGGTTGTTATTTTATGATTTTATTGTTTTAAGAAGGTTTTCTAGCGTGAAAAGACGTAAAGTGTCAAGACCTTCATCTCTCGATTCCCAAGTGTCGAAATTTGCGATTTTTCAGACACTTTCTAAACGTTTATAGCTTGAAATGGATGTAATTCACTTTTTTAACTTCTAAAAAACGTAAATAAAGTGTGATTATTCAGATTCGCCGTCGGCCACGGGGATGGCGGTGGATCCGGCGGATCGGGACGACACGACCGAGATGGAGCACAGCGGCTACAGCAACAGTCAACACGATTTTGGTAGACATTTTTTGAGTTTTGAAAAGGCCGTTTTTGCTAAATTTTCCCCTCGCCAAAAGTTGATTTGGGCTAATTCACCCCTTTTCACCGGTTCTTTCGAAATATCGAGGGGTAGGGGAATTATCGAGAGGTGATTTTCGACCAGTATATCGACAAAAATATTTTTCTACGTTTTTTAAAATTGTGTTTTTTCTGAAATTTGGTTAAATTTAGCGAAAAATTCTATTAAAAGGGTCGTTACTAAGTTGCTAGGCCTTCTGAACTTATCGAAAAAATGAATTTCGGCGAAATTAACATTGTCCATTTTCTCGTGATTAAAATTGAAATTATTAAATCACCTGATTCCAGTCCGCCAGCACCTGATGTCGAAAGAGTTGCGGAATCTCCAGTTCGACAACCCCGGCTCGAGCGCCATCATGCCCGACTTGGCGACGGTGGCGCGCGAGGGGCGCGGCCAGCGTCCGCTCAGACCCACAGCTACTGGTGAGGTTTCTCAGGGATTTTCAGGATAATCTAGGT